GTATCATAACCCAGACGTTCTTGCAAAACTAGCTAATAAGATCATTTTCAAATATATTTGTAGGCCATCTTTCAAAAGATCACTGTCGGATGGCAACATTGTCTCTGAGACGGACTCTCCCTTGAGTGCTTCAAATGTTGGGCACCTTGATTCTATGTCTGCGAATAGAGGAGCTTTGCATGGTCTTTCTGAGTCCACTCCAGCGATCCCAACATCTGAAATTTCTTATTCCAGGTGCACATAAATATTTTTTGTTCCAGTTACACTTAAAATTTCTGCTGTTACTATTGTTCTTGCAAAGATTTATTTGAATGTTGCATCTAAAGGTGCCAACATATTGAATGTTTGAAATCTGTTTGTCTGTACCTACGAACTATGATGACAGACCATCATTAAAATAATTTAAAACTGATTCAGAGACATCTGTCAGCCCACTAAGTTTTTGCTGCTTTTATGGGTTTAGTCCTAGAATGTCTTGCAGGCAGCTTTCCGGAGATACGGAGGAGGACCAAGTATATTATGATGAAAATGAGTACTTTAATTGCACTAATTTTGATCTGGACTGGCTTTCTTCGTCAGGAAATTCATGTGACGAGGATATATTTGACAGGTAGACAAATTCATCTTCAGTTTGATTACTTTAAAAATGCTGAAAATTTTCCAGATAACTTTTTTCTCTGAATCAATTATACCAATCAGTCGAACTATGTGGTGTTCTCCCTTTTATCAGCTAACAAACCATTAATTTGAGCAAAAGCCATCAACTACTTTCAATTTATTAACAGAGGGAGGTAGATAACAAAAAGTCCTGTTTTTGTCATTAAACAATAGACTAAAGACATGGGCGAACTTTCATATTCACTTTCTTGTAGGTGCTTATTCTTCTACATTTGTTGAAGAATTGCTTTCACTTTTGAATGAACACACATTTATTCCAAGTGTTTGAACTAAAATAAATACAAAAAAAACTATTTTAGACAAATTTCTTTTGGAAAATGAAAATTGCTTTCTTGACCAGAATAGAAAGTCTGAAACACTTCTCAACATTTCCCTACACTTGCATTCTGATACCTTTCTGAATGTGTTATTTTTTTTTATTTTTTTGAAATATATTGCAAATTTTCTGTATTTGAAAAAAAATCGTTTGACTTCTGAAATCACATGAATCTGTATCATTGCTCACAGGTCTACGGTGGGCCTATCCTCTGAAAATATTGGCGCTGAACTAAATGTTTCTATGACCACATCTCCAAGTGAGTCTGGTTCAAGCATAAAGGTCGGTACTAACAATTCTATAATTTGATTAATAAACCATCACTGATATTAACTGAATTGCAAATGCATAATACCAATCAAAATTGATTTAAATATAAATAAATTGAACATGATTATGATACGACATGAATTTATTTGACTTGGATATGATTATTTGACCTAATGTTAGAGTTGCTAGTATTTGAATTTATTCATAGGCTTCTAGGTCTCCTATATATGCATGTGATGTTTACTGTGGCATTGGCTAATAAGCTGCTTTATTTGTCTAGGGAGGGTGCCGAACTGCATCTGAACTCAGTATTACAGATGAATTTTCGGAGAGCTTTGTGAATTGGATAGTTCATGGAGATATGCTTACTCCTTTAAATTTTACTTCAAAGTAGTTTCATGGCAAAAATTTGTTTCGCAACCAAACCAAACCCATCCAAAGGATGTGAGTTTTATTTCAATGTAAATAAAAGAAACATGAGATTGAACTGTAAGAAGAGTTGTAGCTTCTGTTGAGAAAAACGTGAGATTGAAGTGGAAAAGAAGAGTTGTGGCTTCTTCTGATTACAAGCCAGTTTCAGCTAGGGAGAACTATCGGAACAGCACAAGAAACTTCAACTAGGGACGACAATCGAACATCATGAGAAATTTAAACCAGGGGTAACAATCGAACAGCATGGATATAGCTTTTGGAGGAAGCAGAATTGGTACACAGCTTTGATTGCTTTTGGATCTGCAAAAGAGTGTAAACATTGATGAACACCACAGGTTTCTACGCTGTAAATATTCAGTATTTCCTTGAGTAGATGATTCTTCCTGAGCCCTTTTGACATTATTGGCAATCTTGCAGTACCTTGTAACTTTTTTGGGTAAAAAATGCCGTTTCTGCATTCAAATTTCATCCCCAAGTTGTGGATTTCAGAATATGACAGCAGCCAGAGGTGGCCTGGTTGGTATTTTCCCGAGTATAAGCAAATTAAGCTAAATCGTGGATGAATGAAGACCAGAGTGATAATTTTTCCTTCGGTTTCGTAGTTCTTCTATCAGTACTTGAGACCGAACCATGGGGATTGCAAAATGAGCAACTGAAGAGGCGCAAATCTACCCAATAACATTGCAAACAAAAATACGTACAGATGGACATCTAGATACACGAAACATTGTTTGATTCCTCCAGGCATCACAATCAACTCCTAAGCATATCCATCCTCCAATTGTTGTTTTCAAGGAAACCCAACAACTTATTGTCTACCACAAAAACATGGGCCACAGCCCGTACGCGTTCATCATTATCTTGAGAAATTGCAACTTCAACTGTTTTAGGCTTCGGTGGCGGAGGAAGCTTCTCAACTACCACAGTCAAAACCCCATTCTCACATTTGACCGCAATTGTCGACACGTTAGCATTCTGCGGCAACCGGAACTTCCTCGTAAGCTTTTGTGGCGCCTTCCTTTCTAGCCTTGGGTATTAACAGCCTTCCTCTTCGACTTCCTCACGTCTCCTCTTCCCACCGCTTTTGATCACCAACGTACTCTCATTTTCAACACTGGCCTGAAATTCAGACCAAAAAATCCATGTCAACCAAAAAAATCTTACAAAAAATCAGAACACCTCCATCCCGGCTGTTTTGGTTTCGTCTCTTTTCCATTACCTGGATATCCGACTTGGACAGCTAGGGAACATCCAAGTAGAAACTGATCTCCTTGGTAGTGTCCAAAATGTCTGCTGGTATGCTACTGAATCCTCTATTCTCGTTCTTACGACTGTCTTGAGTCCGTGAAGGGAACATTAATCTTCCGATGTTTTCCGGGAAATTAAACCAATGGGTGATTGTTTCAGCGACTGCGCTCAATTCAGCGACTGCGCTCATTTTCCGAACGTTGCTGGAGGGAGAAATTTTGTAGTCTTTAGCGTCAAAGACAAAGCTACTTCCAAAGTGAGGATCTTCCCGCTTCGCTATTGAGAAATTGTCGAGGGAGCAAAGTATATAGAAACGGAAGAAAAAAATCTCGACACATCTCAAATAATTTGGAACCTTCTTGTTTGCGTACACGCATCCTTTCTTTGGGGGATATTGTTGTGGGGTGGGGGGCGGCGCGGGCGGGGGTTTGTAATATCTCAAATAACTTAATATATATTTTCGGAAATATTATTATTATTTTTGGTAAAAATTATTTAAAATATTATTATTTTTATCGGAGATGTTATTATTAGACGTTTTATTGGATTGTTAACATATACCGTAAAGTGCTATCTAAAACATTATTTTTTTCTATCTAAAATGTTAATATTGAATGCTTTACCGAAAATATTAAAAAATATTAATGTTTTAGGTAAAATATAATGTTATAAGTAATTTTTTTACTGAAAATATTAAAAAAAATAATAATATTTTCGATAGTATTTTTCTTTAATTATATATTAAAACTGTCGTACGACATATCTCTCCGATATTTTGGGAATCTCGAAAACCTCTTATGAACGTGACGTAGATATTTTTACGTTCAGGAGTAAAATATTCTATTAAAATTATATATCTAAGTTAAGAGGTTAAAGATAAAGTGATGAATATCAAACTTTTAAAAGATATTTAATTATTTTAAAATAATATAATATTAATTTTATTTTATATAATATATATTTTTTAAAATGGTTTGGGTGTCATATCCAAAGAATGGCTCCATCCATATTCGTATCTTGCTATGGATTGATCCATCCCTTTTAACTAGGAGTGATTAAAAAACGTGCTAATATATATTAATAAAAGAGAATTGATTCGATGCTTTTAAGTACGAGTATATCAATAAGATAATTAAATAAACATTAATTGAATAATTGATATTAAACTGGTATAAAAAACATATTACAAGAATAGATAAAAAAAATGTTATAAAAGAAGACAAAATCATTCACATTCCCTATACAACATTAAAAGAATTAACTAAAATAAAATAACACAAATCATATATGTAAAACAAAAACATAGTAAAAAAAAATATGATAAATTTTAGAAAAATAGGAGAGAAAAGGAAATAAAGAAAAAATAATTACTAACAATTAATTTAAAATTAATATAATTATTGGTAAAAAATTAAAAATGATACAAGAAAAAAAGAGCAACTAAATTTTTAATATGCATTATTAATATATTTCTTTACGTAACTTTGGGTTTGAGAAAATAAATTTTCAAAGTGTGTATTTAAAAAATATAAATAAATATTATAACGTAATCCCTCCATATTAATAAAAAAAAACCTTCAATATATACTTTATTTGTATTTTAATAGTATGTGAAGTGATCTTTGCTTCTAAAGCTTCATTATATTAATATTAAAAACATGTAAGTTATTAAAACTTCTAACCACAAAAAACGTTTAAAAAAATATGATAAATAATGGCTTTATTCATCAGATATATTCTCTTTAAAATCCTCTAATTCCAAAAAAAAAAATACTTGGGCCCTGAATTCCCTCTTGGATCCACAAAATGCAAAACCACTACAAAAGCCCAAAATAGAAGCCGGTTTCTTCCAAATATTTTGTAGTCGGCCGAAGGAGGTAAGAGAAAATGGAAAGTAAAAGATGTTTCTCCCTTCTTTGTTAGCAACAGTGACGGTGAACAGTCACTGACGCAGCTATTGCAACAGGTTTTGGGTTGATTCAATCCAAATGATTCCAGTTTTTCAATTTTTTTTGGAGTTGTTGAAATTTTGAGTTGTTTGAGAATCTAGGAAGAAATGTCAAGGTTTCGTTGGATATGGCAAGCTTCCCTGAATGCAACCAAGAAAGGTAAAAAGGCTTGGATTATTAATTTCGTTAATCTGTTTATATTTCATTTCTTATTTTTTTTTTAAATCGATCCCTTTCCTTTGTCACTCCCTTGCTAATTGATTTGAAATTTGTTAAAAACTAATGAAGCTCTGACATGGAACGTTGAAGATTGGACCCCTCCCATTGAAAAATACATATTCAATTTCAGTTCAAAAGAGGAGCTCAAAAAATGGCATCTTTATTCTGATGCTGAATATGGAGGTGACTCTAAAACTGCTCTCAGAGTTTTTCTTAACATGATATTTAAAGAAAATTTTGCAACGTTTTTCTATAATTCTACATTTCAGGGTTGTCTTCGGCTTCGTTGGAGATCAAAGATGATTCAAATAAAACAAGCGGTAATAGTCAATATAAGTGTTGTTGTTAATTTTGTTTAATCTGGCATCCATGACATTGATTCACTTTTCATCATGTCAACTTCATGTTTCTTATTTTAATTGCTTATTTTGCATCTGATTATGCTTAACATATTTTTTTAGGATTTTTGTCTGGTAACCTTTCCCTGGATGTAAACGAAGGTACGAAATGGAAAATAACTAGGAGCTGCTTTTGTGGAATGCAGTCCAAGAAGGTGAACAATAATTCCATTTTCTTTTATGGAGTCTCCGCTTGGTATGATGGATGGAAAGGCATGAGAAAGGAGAATTTGTAAATCTTTTGGTTTAGCTACAAAGTAGTAGGATAGTTGTTATGAATCTTAATCATTTGATAAACAATTATTTCATTCTCACGTTTTTTCATCCTTCATGCCAAGAAAGGCTTAATTCTAAAGTTTCCTGATTTTAATGGTTTAGTTATTCTTATTGCATCAATTTTAGATGATGTTACGTGCCATCATTGAGTCTTTAGTGTTGACTTTAGATAGATGGATTTTCCCTGAAACAAAAAGGTATTACTGAAGGTTACTCTCTAGTCACTGAAAAGATGTGGAACTATGGATGAATCTTGAAAGACTATTTAGCTTTATGAATGTTGCATAAAAGCTTTCTTTCAAACTCACTTTTTCAAATATTCATTTTGAAGTGATAATAGTCTGCTCCTACATATTTCTTTTAAAGCCACGAATTGTGGCCTACCCCTTTGTTGGTTGTCTTTAGAATGTCATTTTTGGAACTTGCGGCTCTGTTTTCCTTTCTTTAGGTGCTTCATGGTGTTAAATGTCTATCTATTTCTATGGTATGGAGAGGCTTTCTATTTGTCCCAAGTGAGTTAATACCACTCCAACTTTAGGTTTATTTGTAAGATTTCTGATGAGGAAACGTACTTTCTTCAGTCATCATAGATAAAAGAGAATGTTTTTCTTTCATTGTCTGTTAGATTAAGCATAAAGCAGAAAATTTTCAATTTATGCGCAAGCACCGTAAATTACATTGATTCATCTGCAATAATTATTTGCATTTAGTGACCCTTTTTTCTTTCATTCATATATCTGTAGTTTGATGGCTTCATTGATTTGGAGGCATATGATACACTAGCATTAAGGCTTAAAGGAGACGGGAGATGTTATATATCTACGGTGAGTTGTTTACATCGTATTGAACTAAAGTAGTAAACAGATATCGAGGCTTTTACTTACATTGTTCCTATCTCTTTTGAATCTTATACACTTCTATGCATATCTATACAGAGAACTGGGTGAATTCTCCTGGGCAGATGGAAGATAATTCATGGCAATCTTTTGTTTTTGTTCCCAGAGACAACTGGTATATTGCCAAGGTATAGCCATCATATTCCAGAATCTCGTATTATTAGCTATCGATGTTATTGGTTTGTACTCATTGGGTGTATCTCAAAATATAACTAAACTCTTGAACAAGGGATTTAAGATTATAATCGCCATATGGAATTAAGTAGAATGTTTTTAGATAAATGGCCATAGCTCATAAAAGAAATCGAAACCACTGCTACAAAAATTACTAGTCATTTATCTAACAGGGTCTTCATTTCCACTTGCAATTGGAAAGAGAATACCAATATCACATACTCATGTTTTAGATTTCTACTGGTCGGGAGGGCCTCAAATGCTTGGTTGCATCCCTTGTGAAATGTTATTATTATTTAGTGGAGATGTTCCTGTGTCTGACACATGATTTGTATATATAAACTTTGCGATAAAAATTGAGCATACACATATCGGAAATATAACGGCGACAGAACAACAGATAGTGTTTAAATGAAGTGAAAATATCGGAATTTGGTGCATAATTTGTATGATATGGCACTTGCAGATACCTCTGGAATACTATTTGCCAACATGGAGAGGGAATGTGATAGAAGCAAAGTTGGAGATGAATCCATCTCGTATACTAGGGATGTCTGTATCAGTTAATGCAGATGGTGGTGTGCCTGGTGGTTTCAATTCGGAAATTGATTGGATTAAAGCCATTCGTACACAATGGTTGATTCTTTGAATTTTGTGATGGAAAAAGGGAGACCGTAAAATGTTGTACTATTATATTAGTGTATCATTCTTTCCGCCCGATGAATGCTTAGTTAATCAAGTGATATTTTTTGGGTGAAAAAAATGAGATTAAACTATTCCTAACAAACTAATCTATCTATTGGCTTTCCTTTTGGAGGATTGCCATAATTCCTGTTGCTGGTCCCTCACAGATTCGACGGCTACCATCTCCTAATCAAGTGATATTAATTTGATTGTTTGGATGGAGAGAGCAGCTTTTCTCCCTACTTGTTCACGGTTTTCGTCAATAATGTTAGTAAGAGGATTCACGTCTCCTCTCTGAAAGAAGCATTTAAGGCATATGGTGTGGTACTGGATGTGTTTATCGCGTATAGGAGTAGAAAAAGACTATTTATGAGTTCTACATTTACGTTCGTAAGGTTTAGTAGCAGAGTTGAAGCTAATGAAGATGTTGTTAGACCGGATGGTAGGCTGATGGATGGGTTTAAGATCAGAGTTTTCCACGATAAATCGCCTGGTTGCCAAAGGAAGAGGGTAGTTGTTGAAAGAAGTGTTAAAAAGGTTTGGAAATCAGCTTTTAGGGATGCCAGGTCTTTCAGAGAAATTCTAGAAGGTGTGAAGGTCAACGGTGGGAAGCCATTCGATAAGTTTGAGGGTCGATTTGTTGGAAACTATAGAGGCGTTGAACCGGTTGTTCATGTTAATGTTATTGATGACAGTGTAGGTAGTTATTCTTCAAGTCCTGAGGGCGTTAACATGAGCATCGTAATTCCCAATAAGGAGCTTTCGTAGGTAGAGAGAAGTTTGGCTGGTAAAATTAAAAGCAATTATAATGATGTTATTATTCAAACAACTTTTAAAGCGGAAGGTCTGGATGTGAAGGTTAGTATTTGGCATGATTTGTTGTCGATTATTCAGTTTCGAAATGATACCGATCGCTAAGTATGTTGGTCAAATAGAGAGGAATGGATTCGTTTATGGTTTGATGAATTGGAATTAATGGAAGGGTATGAGACTAGAGTAAAAGTTAAAGTTTGGATTTCTCCAAAGGATATCCCTCTTTCCATTTGGAGTGAAAAGCTTTTCTATAATATTGGTAGCCTACGAGGAAGAGTCATTCTGATCGATAAAGAAACTTATGATCGCGATAGGTTTGATGTTGCAAGAGTGTTATTGGAAGTTCAGTCGGAATCCTCTATCCCTGAGAAAATGTCCATCATTTTCAATGGTCGTTGTTATACCATTAAAATCTATACGTGAGTGCAGGAAGAGGCTAGAGCCTTCATTGATGGAACCATGGTGGAGGGTGGAGTTGAAGAAGAAGAAGAAGAAGGAACGAACCTTCCAAACTTCGAGGTTGAGCGTGTTGCATGCGTTGGTTTCGAGGGTGGTTTGGATGGGTAGGCGCAGAATGTGTCGAGTAACCGGATGTGCGATAATTTTTATGGTTTATTGGAAGGTGGTGAGTAGCATGCTGAAGTTAACGAGGAAGGTATGGGTGTCTATGAAGCTGGGCTGCTCGATGTTCCCATCTTTTCCAATATTGGGACAGTGCAACATCATATTCTTGATGAGAGCGTTGGGTTAATAGATATTAATAGAGATCCGAATTTTAATAGGATCACCCAATCATTTTCCAATAGTTCAAGATTTTTTGATGTGCCTATCGATGAGGTGTCCTCCCTCAGACTCTTGGATGAACCTAATTTTAATGATAATCGGGATAGTAGGTGCGGGAAGGGCAAAAAGAGGAATTTTGATCCTCAAAATATGTCTGTTGTTAATTTGCAAAACCCACGCTCGAGGGGGGTGAACCGGGTCAGTCTTAAAATTTCCAAGAGGTTTAACAACGCGAAAAGGAAGAAGCACGGAATTAAGGGTCGTGATGAAGGTCCAAACGTTAGTAGCAGCGGTAAACAGACTGGACTTATTTGTGGGGAGCACGATGGTGGCAAGGAGAGTGTAGCTTCTGAAGCGGCGAAGACTCTTGCCATAACAGAAGCGTTGGGGGTGGATTTCGCTGGGCCAAGAGGGGTCGTTTTGAAGAGGCAGGAAGCGCCTTGATTAAAAGGGTAAGTACTGGTTCTGTTCCGATTACTGTTAGTGTACGTCTTTGTGGGTGTTTCTTGTTTTATGGTATCTAGCATATCAGCTTTATCTTGGAATGTTCGGGGGTTAAGGAATTATGAAAAGATTTAGAGAAGTTCATATGGTTATTGTTTCGAATAAGGTTAATCTGATATTGCTCCAGGAGTCCAAGGTTTCTGAATTGAGTGGTTTTTTGTTAAGAGGATTAATAGGGAATTCTGACAAAGCATTAGCTTTTGCTTCTACTGTTGGGGCTTCGGGTGGGTTGATTTCATTGTGGGACAAGAGACTTTTTTCGATGTTAGCTGCATAACAGTTCATAGGAGAATGATTGTTCTTGAAGGTAGACTAGTTTCATCTAACAGGGAGATGGGGATTCTAAATGTTTACGGGCCGAACGTGCAAGGTGAAAGAAGAGAGTTTTTTGAGCAATTGAAATCTATCATATCAAATTGGAGCTTTTCGGTGATTGTTGGGGGCAATTTTAATTGTGTTAGGTGGAAGTCCGAAAGATCAGGGGCTCAGGACCAAGTGACTACGTTGAAGATTTTTTAAGAGTTTATTTTTTGTTGTAATCTGATTGAGGCGCCTAATCAGGGCAGTTTGTACACATGGTTCAGGGGTAGTGGGAATGCAATTTCAAGTAGGCTCGACAGATTCCTGTTATCTATTGAAATTTTCAGTTTGTGTCCTCAATTGGTTCAATGTTCTTTGCCTAGGGATCTATCCCACCACAAACCGATTGTTTTGAAAGAGAAGAGGTCAAACAAGTTAGTTAGACCTTTTAAATGGTTTAATCACTGGGCGGATGACTCTATATTGGTCGATAGAATAAGAGATTTAAGTGTAGCCAGCAAAGGTATCGGTATTAATAAATTTCTGCTGTTGGCTAAGAACGTGACCAATGATAGAGAGAGAAGTTAGAGCGTTGAACTCAGATTCTGTGGAAGAGATTGGTAAAAAGATAGATTCGTTAGAAGAGAGGTGGTTGTCGGATCCTTGTAATGTTCTATTTCAGCAGGAGATTTCTTCGTTGAAGGTAAGAGTGTGGGTTGTTGCGAGGAAGGTGGAACGTGAATGATTACAAAAATCTAGACTCGAGTGGTTTAAAGAGGGGGATAAAAATATAAAAAAAAATTCATCTCTTGGCCGTCTCTAGGGGTCGGAAAAATCAGATTTCAAATATGAAGTTTCAGAATGCGATATACAAGAATCAGACTGGAATCAAGCAAGCGTTTGTAAATTATTTCTCTGTTGGCTTTAATGAGGTGAAAACTATTCCTTTGAAGAGATTTGACATCCCTCTTAAGAGGATAAACTCTGTCTCCAAAAGGTTCATTGAGGATCCTTTTTCGGAAGAGGAGGTTTGGCTCACGATAAAGTCATTTGAAGGTTCAAGAGCGCCAGGTCCAGACGGTTTCAACTTAGACTTTTTTAAGTGATTTTGGAAGCATATTAAAGGCGAAGTTATGAAGTTTATAGAGGAGTTCTATTGGGGCAAAGTCGAAGATCTTTCTTTCAATAAATCCTTTATTGCGCTTATTCCGAAGAAAGCAGAGGCTATCTCCCCGGATGATTTCAGATCAATCTCCTTAGTGGGCAGCATGTACAAAATTGTTTCTCGTTTATTGGCTAAGAGGTTGGGCAGTTGTCTTTCTGATGTGATCGGAGAGAACGCTTTTATTGATGGAAAGCAAATATCCGACCGCAGTTTGATCGCTAATGAAGTAATCGATGGGTTGTATAAAAGCAAGAAAGAAACAACGTTGATCAAGGCAGATTTTAGCAAAGCTTTTGATACAGTTGATTGGTAGTTTTTTGAATTTGATTCTAAAGAAGATGGAGTTCGAAAAAAGATGGAGAAATTGGGTCAACTTTTGCATTTCCACTCCTTCAATTGTTGTTCTGGTTAATGGATGTCTGTCGCATTGTTTCTCTATTAAGAGGGGTCCTAGACAAGGCTTTCCGCTGTCGCCGCTGCTCTTTAATATTGTTGGCGAGGCACTTAGTTGTATGATAAAGAAGGCATCGGATCTTGGAATATGTCGCGGTGTGGAAGTTGGGTCCGGTGGTTTTGTTTTATCTTACATGTAATTTGCTGATGATTTGCTCATCTTTTCTGAATCTAATGACGTGTCAATTTCAAATTTTTTCGGATTCTAAAAATCTTTGAAGTGGCAACTGGATTGAAGCTCAACATGCATAAAACTTTGTTATTCGACATCAATCTGGAAGAAATTAGTGTTAGGAGATGGGCATAATCTATCCATTGTGGCTGGGCTCAACTTCCGTCGACATACTTGGGTTTGCCGTTAGGGCATCGGAAGAATTCAAAGTCGCTCTGGCAACCCATTTTGGATAAAGTCTCTAGACGGCTACAAAGCTGGAAAGGTAAAATACTTTCACTGGGTGGCAGGCTTACTCTTATTAAATCGGTCCTAGCAAATTTGCTTGTCTATTTCATGTCTATTTTCTCAATTCCAAAATCAATTGCTGATAAGATTAATAGATGCATATCTAATTTCATTTGGAATTCTATGTCGGATAGGAGTATTCATTGGATTAAGTGGGACAACATTTGTAAACCAAAATCTCATGAGGGGCTGGCAAAGTTATCAAAGGCTCAAGGCGCATCGAGGCGCAAAAGTGTCCTGGAGCCTTGAGGCGCGAGGCGCATGAAAGGCGCGGAATTCACGAAGGTGAGGCACATGATATCAAAAAAATTGTAATACATGTATATATTAATGCAATCAAACTCAAATATCATAGATACCCAATATTAGGCTTCAATAGAGTTCATTCTCAAACTCAAAATACCAACCTAACGTCATAAAAGCTATCAACAAGCATAATCAAGTCGTTAAAAATGATGTTTAACGTCGTAGTCGCCAGTCGAAGAAAAGGAGGAAGCGACCTATCGATAGGTTAGTATGTGTAGATTAGAAGGTCGATTGATAGTCGATTGAGGGTTTTATGGGGTCCTAAAAGGTGGTTTGTTTTAATACTAAAATAAGCCACGTCTTCACTATTTTACCTTGAAAACGATGAACATAAAATAATGTATAAAGTTTAATGAATATATTAAAAAAATAAAATATACAGTAAATAGAAGGTCTGATTTTTGGACTGACAAAAATTTCTTTAAAAAATGCTTTTCCGAGAATCTTCAGTCTCACGATTAAAAAATGTGGAAAGATTAAAGAATTTGGTTGTTGGGTTCATGGTAGATGGGAATGGAGGATTGTTATGAGAAGAGCTTTCTTCAAATGGGAAAAGCCTATTTGAAGTGAATTCAGGCAGGTATTAAGTAGAGCGGTTAGTGTCGTTGAAGGTTTTGATAGGGTCATATGGTCGGGATCACTGGATGGAAAATACAATCCTAAAGCTTTTTGTTTTAAAGCGGCTACTGAAGGTAATTTGGAAGATCCCGTGTGGAGACTCGTTTGGTTTAATCTTGTCCCTCCTACGGTATTTGTTTTTGTGTGGAAAGCAGTGCACCTTAGACTGCCGGTTATGGTTGAGCTGGTAAAAAGAGGCGTTAATTGCATGATCAGGTTCGTTGTTTGTTTTGCAATATTGAGCCAGAAGCGATTAATCATGCTCTATGTCATTGCATTGTTGTATGGAAAGCTTGGCAAAGATGGTGCTTGGTGTGGAATGTAAATTTAGTGTTCCCTAAGAATGTTTACCAATTGATCCAGGTTTGGTTCTCGCAAAGTATTATGAGTGTGAGGCTGCTTTGGCGTATTGGTTTTTTTGGTTTGATTTGGGTAATCTGTATTTGTAGAAATAAATCCATATTTAACGGTGCTGCTTTTTCGGCAGATCAGATTTTTAATAAAGTTTTGCTACAAATAGGGATATGGGTGAATTATTTGTGGCCGATGATGTTGCTAGTGGTGTCTGATGTTATTCGCAATCCGGAAGCTATCGTTCGTGGGGTGTGTTAATGGAGATTTCCGGTGTGCATTTTTGAGCTGTTAGTTTTAAATCAGTTCGGCTAGTGATTCTGAATTGGGATTCTCGTTGACTGCTGCTCGGACATGAAGTTTTTATCTGGTTTATCTACTGCTGGTCTTGCCAATGAAGATTTCAGATCTGTTTTCTTCGTGCAGAGATTAAGCTGAATTTTCTTGTTGATCACTTTGGTGCTCGTTTTGTTGACTGCTCTTTCGTTTGGTGTTGGTTAGGACTCTCCGATCCTTCTTTTGTTTTTGCTCTCTTCTGTTACAGAACGCTTGATTTCGGTCGTGTATTCTGCCGAGTGTCTTTCCATCTTTGGTTGCTTTATTTCAACGTTACCCAAGTTGCTTTCGATCTATTCTTCGCACAATCTTCTCATTTGCTGTTCTTCCAGTCGAGCTGGGGTTTCGCATAGTGGTACAGCGAGGGACTCGGCTTTTTCTTCTCTTCGACATCTTTTTGTTGCGTTGTTTTGTCTTATTTGCCTTGCTCATTGGTCTTTGGTTTTGGAAGATGTAGCATGGTTTTGTTCTATGTTTTGATGGGTGTAGTTCCATGTTGCAATTCCTACAGGGGTAGTATTTAGCTATACTCTTGTAGCTTGTCATGGGCTGTTCTAGAGGTGTAGTATTCGGTTTTTGTTTCGATGTAATTGGAATCATAATTGTTCTTGTTTCCATCCTAATGTTTACTCTTTTTCTTCTAATAGGTTTAGAGAGTTTTTTTTAATGAGGTACTTGTTGGGGTGGATGTCTTATACAAAGTACCTATTTTTCAAACAAAAAAAATCGATTGTTTTAGCAATTATTTAAACTAATAAAATGTTTAATCAACGGAAAAAAAGGTCAGTAAAATTGAACTGATTCAATTTCTTATCATAATAAACTTTTCATAATTAATGAAGTGGTCCCAACTTGCAGTACCAATCGAAATGAATTATTTTATTTGGAAATTTCTCGATAAAATAATATATAATCTTTGATTTCTATTCGTTATTTAAAATGGTGTGCGATGCAGACAAGACAATTTAAGGCTCTGATATATTATATGCATTTTAGAATGCTATTGGAAAATAAGAATAATGGGAATGACGTGGGAAAATGTGTTCCAGATGTTGCACATGCACATGCAAAATGCTAGTGGTCGAATCCCTCTCCATAATATCTCTGATACTTTAGAACACACTGGAAACTTTGACTCACTGCTATTATATATTTTCAATTAATGGAACGATACTGATATTGTAAATATGAGTAAAATTTAGACCTTAATATATAAGACGACTAATTGAAGTGCATGCACCTTTGTAGATGAATATCACCAAATCAAACACAACTATCTATTTTTAATATATATAAAAAAGCTATCAGATAAAACTTTGAATACATTACTAATCGTTCAATGATCTAAAGAGATGGTGATGATAGTATGTTGGTGACTTTGATTGGTTGGTTCTACAATGTTAGAGAAAGAAAAGGCACGTGATTTGGGCAGATGCCAATCCAAATTCACGTGGGCATTTCTACACTAATTCATAAACTTGGAGTTTGGACAAGCACAGAACTTTCGATAGACTTTTTTTGGACCAACAACCCTCTTTTTTGGGGGGTACAGAACTACAGATTGCTTTAGTCCCACCCAGACCAAGAAAGAAATTTCGTCTGAGAAGCATCATTAGTTATGTTTGTGCATTTGGAGTGAGTTGGTTAATTAGACGTAATCTCATCCAATTATATACTATCTTATTTTCCCATCGAGGTCGTTCAATATTCATTATGAGCAAAATGTTCATTCTCTACGTAGGAATTGTTAAAAAAAATATTTTGTAGAGATAGATCAAGTGACGGGTGAAAACAACCATTCTCTTAAAATTTTTAAATTCATCCATATTTTGAAATTTTTGTGTAATTTCTATTAATAAACTATTTTCAATCCTTAAATTTTATTAATTCACTATTCTCTTAAATTTTATAAATTTATCCTTTAACATAAAATTTTGCGTATTTATGTAATTATATACATAATATATCTTTGATTACTCACAAGAAGAAGGAAACCGCATTTCAACCAAGTTGTGAGAGAATAATGAACATCCAAGCTAAACCACTTGCCATTTGGGTTTTTAAAAAACTCGATCATCCTACCTCCATAGGACCATAGGTGGGGCCCTTCAACAAGGATCAAGTTTGAAATTCTTTTTTAAAAACAATGTCATGAAAGACTCCATCTAGAAAAATAAATTTTAGGTAATGAAAATTACTTCATTCACCTTCAATGGAGTTCTAAAACTACACAGATAAAATTAAATGCATAGCATATACAAGAAATCAAAGGCATGTGCTAATATGGGCACAACTAAGCTGAATTAAGCTCAATTTATTTATTCAAAAGAAAATTCAATATGCGGCTGATTGAAGTGGTAATAATTTTAATTTTTATATAAAATTCAAATTTTGAAAAATATATTTATTGAAAGAATTTCACAATCGATATTCCCGATCTGGCGAAGTTAATTTTAAGCTCAGTGTGATTTGAAAAGACCTTAAATTAACGTAAAAAGAAAATGGCTCATTTGTAGCGATGAGTGACAAAAGTGAACTGAATTAAGCTCAATTTACATATTGGGAGGGGAATTACATAGTAAATTTGAGCCCATTTTAATAATCCTATACGGAAATAGGCAAAATATCCCGTCCTTCTAATCAATCATCACCGTCCATGGCCACCACCTTATCTATTCATTGTATCACTATTTTATTCGTTTGCACACAAAAAACGAACAAACAGATTCATGAATATATAAATGCACAACAAGCGAAGTTGCAAACCATAAAAACTTACCGGTTTCCGGAGAGCTAGCGTCGTTCTCAGAGATTCTCTCGCCTTCCTTTCCCTCTGTTTTTCTTTTTCCGTTTTGTCTTTTCAATCTTTCCCATCACGGAAACACATGCTAGGGTTCCGTGTTGCAGTTCCCACAAAGATATAGTCCTAAGCTAGGTTTCTGGTTTTATGTTTTGCTGTTGGTTACTATAATTTGTCGACAAGACAAGGACATCGGTTTTGAGTTTTGGTGTTGGGTTTGTGTCTTCGGGTTGTTTATTGAAGCAATGGCAAGTGGAGGAGCGAAGAACAATGATTTCTATGCTGTTATGGGGTTGAATAAAGATTGCACTCAAGCAGAGCTCAAGACTTCTTATAAGAAACTTGCACTGGTTAGTTTTTTAGCATTTGATTTGAATTGTTTTTTTTTTTTGTGTGTTAATAATCTATACTTCGAACCGGTACTGAATTCAGTCTTGTTAAAAATCTGGGTTTTCTACAAATGAACCAACTTTTCGGGGAATTATACGCTTGCAATGAAAATTTTTGTTGTAAAACCAGAGTCTAGTCTGAATTTGGTGTTTGTTTGTTGGATACAGAGATGTCACCCTGATCGTTGCTCTGCATCGGCAAATTCGAAGTTCGCGGAAGAAGCCAAGAAGAAATTCCAGGGTATTCAACAAGCCTATTCTGGTAAATTTCTCTTTCTGTATATATTAATTTACTATTGTATTCCTCTATTCAATTGCAATTTTTATTTTTCTACTCATAAAAGTTGAGATTTCATTTCTATTCCCTTCTCTCTTTTTTAGAAATAATTTAAGTGGGAATTATTGGATTCAGCTTCACGAGATGATGTTTTTTACTCCACTTTTTCTACAGTTCTGTCTGACGCAAACAAGAGGTTCCTGTACGACGTAGGAGTTTATGACAGTGATGACGACGAAAATGTATATTTGCTTTGCTGTCTTCCACATCTTTTTTTTTATTTTCTGTTGTTGATATATATATATATATACACGCACACTAAATTCAATCAGATTTAGGTTATGGTTAAGCATGCAAAATAAATAAATATATTTGATTTCAGGGCATGGGAGACTTTTTGAACGAAATGACCGAGATGATGCTCCAGACAAAACCTAGTGTAAGCCTTCTTTCATTGTTTTCTGGATTCAATTTTTATCTAATTTCTCATATTAAATGGGGTATATATTTGATACAAATGTATGTTTTAATGTATAGGAAAAGGGAGAAGAAAGCTTAGAGGAATTACAAGAATTGTTTGAAGAAATGTTCGAAGCTGACATTGATTCATATGAGCCCACTTCTTGTACTGCTTCATCTTCGTGTGGGTCTTACGGTCAGAGTTCCAAGAGTTTCTCCGAAAGCAGTTCGGGGGAGACCTTCGATGCACAAGTTAATGGTTTCTTTCTCGGGGTAAGTCGTATCTCCTAAAACTCCAATCCAACTAATATAATGTCCCAATAACACAGGTAATAATGCATGGAAAAATAGTCTTCTTGTGTCCTCTGTTATTTAGCATCTAGTCCAGTGTTTTTTGGTTAATTTTTTGTGGAACTTTTGTGTCAAGGCATCATGTGTCATAAAATAACATTACACCATCGAAGGAGCAAAACAATGGAGTAGGTTATATGAGGTGTGGAAGGGAGACAGGTAAATTGTGTTTTGTCTGTTTATTTCAGTATTAAAATATGTTGTATAGGGTATAGATCGAAACCTTAAGTATTTATTTAAACATACAAAATATAAGGAATTTGAAATGCTAGTTTCCAACAACATTTCAAATGTAAAAATTCTCATGAAAGCCTTTGTTTCCGATTGATGTTTTCAAGACAGAAAGAGCAGAAGCAAGGTATCAGGCAACAGAGAAGAGCCAGAGCAGGAACCGGCCGGAAGCAAAAGGTTTCGTGGGGCCATGATGTTTCTTCCAACGACTACGACATCTCTGCTTCATAATAACACCGCTTTACTCATTAACTTAATTTCAACCTTACCATTTTGGCCTCCTTAAACACATTAACATCCTGTGGCCAAGATGGTGGCAGACTGATTGTCAGGGTCGACAGTACCCAACAGACAACATCAATCGAAGCCAATACCGTCGGTTCGGCTGTTTTCAGTCCAGGACTGTGAAGAAACGAGGGAAACTACTAGAGTTTTACCATTTATATTAAGGCCTTCAATGGGTTAGCTGTGATTCACCATATCGATGAATCTTTTTATTCGTTACTTTATTGTACTCTTTTTTATTTTGCCATGTTTAGGACCTTGTAATGCAATTTTAGCACATGTTAAAATATTACTTCCCAAAATATTTTGCGTAAAGCAACAACTTTAGGAGAGTTCACAATTTAATTTTTTTTTTGAATTCAAACATAATTTAATTTCAAAAATTACGAATATTCTGTCTTATTATTTGAGTTTTTTTCAACTAATTTTATATTAATACAAATATAGGTTAGTTCAAGTGGTAAACAACTTTATATTACTTAAGTAATGTCTCGAATTCGATTTTTTGTGTATACAAAAAATCATTGCTAAGAGACTCATCTACCAAAATCAAGTGTACAACACGAGTCGGTCCTAATTAATCAAGACGAAAATTTAGAATAAAAAAGATAAAAAAAATTAAATTAATTAGAGGCGGGACATATGATGGGCCCTAACTAGAAGCTACCTTACAAGTTGCATAAAAAGTTGGATGCCAACTGCCCAGTTCCTTCCCCAAGGTTCTACATTTTCTCCATCAGTTTCCACTTGCCGTGCAACTTCGCAGCTTGCATGGTTTTTTATTATTCATCATTATTTCGTTCGTTTAATAAAAGAAAGAAAAAAAAATCTGGTCTTAGGTCAAGAGTGCTGTTTGATTCCATTTTAAAAAATATGGCAAATTGGACAAGTTGTAGAATAGCTGGGGATACAACAAAAGTCATCAGTTGGAAGTCTAAAGTTTTGATGTTAACAACCTTTACTTTTTAGATTCAAATTTTAAGGCTAACAAGTTGAGTGTTTTGAAAAGTAAAATTGGTCAGGTACCAAGTTGGGATGCAATCATAATAATTACAAATTAGGCTAAATTACTTATGAATCATCTTTATTCATACAGCAATCAAAATGTTGCAAGTTGGGGTTCACATGTTTCCATATATTGATCTATAATATTTGTAATTAAGTAGTTTTAACCTTTCTTTCCTTCCAAAATTCATCTATCGTGCTATAAAACAAAATAGGGCAAAGTACACAAATGGTGTGGTGATGCTTTGTTGAGCCTTCCTTTACAAAATGATTCATTGGCCATAGGTGATTACTTTGTTAAGTCCCAAATTTTTAAAAGTTACAAAATGATCATCCAACTATTTATATATTCCAAACTCGTCATTTTCCGTTAAAAAATTATAGCAGTCTGAGCTGGACGTCGATATGCTTATTGGGACATGATAAAATCTGATCCCATCATCTCAAACGACTATTATATCCCAGTCAATATGCTAACGTCCAACTCAAAAGACCGTTAATCTTGTAACGAAAAAGAACGAGTTTAGAACATATAAATAATTGAGTGACTATTTTATAATTTTTAAAAGTCGAAGGATTCAACAAATTATCTATGGAGGCATTTTACTGGGATGGACTGAGAGAGAAATCTATTAGAACTGTTGAAATTGCAAAAGGAGTCCATTCCTGATGTTAATTTGACACCCAATACATTCAAATTTTATATATTTTTTCAACTTTTACTTTAATTCCCACTTATATTTCCATCCTACCGATTTCCCGATTTATTATATATATATTTTTTTGTTTCTAACCAAATCCTTTGTTTAATATCTAATCATAATGGTGGATGGCCGCACAATTGGTTGAAATTAATAAAAGAAAAAGAAAAATCGTTTCCTCCAAAGAAACAGGGTCTCTTTCTTTTTGCATTAATTAATAATTTGAGTTTGGTATAACATTATTACACGCAAAGATCATCCATTGGTTCCTTGCATTTTGAAAATTGTTTTCAAATGCAATGTCTATAAATTATTTTATTACGCCTTGTTCATAAACCAATAAACACTCTCACTCATTATAAACTAGATTTAATAATTTGAATATGTAAAGTGGTCTCATTCAAAATAATGATGGAGATTGGATTGTTGGATTCAATACACCGGTTGGGATTTCGTCTCCTTTGCAAGCTGAACTATGGGGCATTTTTAAAGGACTTCTACTAGTATGGTTCTATGGAATTGAGCGTCTTTAATGTCAAACAGACTGTATGAAAGCTTTTAAACTAGTGTCTTCACCAACGGCTAACTCCAACCTCGTATCACTTGTTCGTTCTATTACAAGCCTCATTTCAAAACCATGGATGCTTGACTTTCTTCTCATTCGTCGTGAAGCTAATGTTGTTGTTGATTTCCTTGTCAAATCCACTATTAATACTGATGGTCAATCATGCATATATTTGGAATCCCCCGAGAGATCATCCCTCATCTCACTCGAAACTTCGTGGTCTTGTTTTTGTTTGCAATTAATATTCTACCGTAATGGTCTTCATTCTTATTAAAAAAATAATTTGAATATGTGAGTTTTATATTTGTCTAAAATTTTGATATTTTAGTAATTCGTATTAGTTATCACGTTACCCATCTGCTTTTGCAGGTTCAAATGTGGTAGCAGCTGAGACTTTAGATGCACTATCATTATGACGTGAGCAACAAGGGGTCCTATATGATCTCACTCTTGCTTAAACCAACTCTTAGTATATACAAAATTAAGTGTATTTCAATGAAGATTATAAAACTATAATATTAAACAAATTGATCATAATATTTTATATCTAATTTTATTTAAATTAAAATATCAAAACTTTTAAAAGTTCTTTTTTTATAGAACTAATTTTAAATTTTAAAATATCAGTATTTTATATTATATAAAATTTTAGTAAAATTATACATAGGGGTGATTACTCTGAAGTCTACTCAACAACAAGAGAGTGTTGGTGGGTGGAGATTTAGTGTCAATCTTATATAGTTGACGTGTAAAGCTTAGATATACGAAAGTGGGAGCCACATGTTCCCACCCACTTGACCAATTCTCTCACTTCTTAGCTAAATGGCTCCTTGGGTTTGTGCTTCAGCTTCACTTCCCTTTCCTCCTATCGGCTTATTTTATATTTCCTTTTTTTACCACTACTTCGTAGATTATTTTCAGTTTCGAATTTTGAAACAATGACCATTGATATAATTTAAGTTGTGTTAAGCAAACTAATACATATTGATTATAATTACTAAGTTCGATGTATTAAATAAATAAGAATGCAATGCGATGCAAATAACATTTGCATTTTTTTTTTAAAATGTGTGATTTTTCTTTATGATGTTTAGAATTATTCACATTTCTTTCAATTTATAATTAAGAAATTAAGAAGTTGTGTGTTTATAGGTTTATCTGAATTCAGGTTCTCCTAATATTTAACCATTATATTAAATGAATTAAGATTCGAATAGTAACTAAAAATTTTATTATTATCTTAAAAATTCACTTGTTAAGACTTAAGTGTCAATAATATTATTAGTTATCGAAACACACAAGAATGAAATATGGTGAAAACATTATTTATTTTATAATGAAATATTTAATTTTTTAAATACTTTATATTTTTTAAATTATTAGATAAAAATTTATTATACTTTCCGTTAATTGATTTAATTTAAAAAATAAAATTTTAAAGATTGATTTTTTAAATAAACTAGATTTTTTTCAGAAAAAATATCGAAAAAAATGTCATTAAATATATATATATATATATATATATGGGACATAATCCAATTACATAGGGTAAAACTTTTTTATTGTAAACCTTTTTTAGAATCGAAAAATAAAGAGTTAATCTCAGCCTTTAATTTTCTTTTGTCCAAAGATCCTAAAAAAAAGTGTAAAGCTAAAAATTTTGCATAATATATACCAATCACACATTTATTTATTGTTAAAACACCTAAATCTTATTTCGTGTTTCACAATTAACTCGTTTCTAAAAATAATTCCAATTTAGTCATTAATATTTTAATAACTATATCCTGATAAATTATAGCAATGCTTATAGAATTCATCACTTAATTATTAAAACGATCAAACTAATTTAGTTTTAAACCTCAACGATCCAAAATTTAATCAAAGTTTAAATTTGTTGCGTGGCTTGAAATGAAGCCATACTAGCCGGAGCCATGCACCCAAATTTAGCCATCTTTTAAACAATGACCTTCAACGCCCTTCTCTCCCTCCTCCCCTCCTCTATAAAAAAAACCCTATCCACCATTTCTAATGAGAATAAAGAAACAAAAAACTCTTTCAACAATATCCCCACCACATAAAAAATCTTTTCCTTCCGCCGTTTCCCTCCCCTCTCTTAGTAACAGTCGTTTCTCTGCCGGATCACAAAAACAAATATATATAACAACAAGAAGAAAAACATTGATATACACTGATACACACACACACACATATACACGAGTAATCGTTTGTTATACGGCTTTTTAACGGGTGTTACGTTATAGAGAAGGAGAGTTTGATCATGGGAATCCTAGACAAACTTTGGGACGAAACGCTTGCCGGGCCTATGCCAGAAACCGGCCTCGGAAAACTACGAAAGTATAATTCCTTTTCAGCCACACGAGCATTGTCTGCTACTGTTGATAATAGCAAGGTGGTGATAACCAGGAGCATTACCATTCTTAAGAGCAACTCTGGTTTGAAAAACATATCTGTGGAGCCGGGTTCAGTTCCAGACTCTCCTTCCGGGTCTAGCAATCCTGGGACACCTTTGTCACGTATGTTCCATTTTCATGTTTTCTTTCCTCTTATTATTCTTCGTTAGCAGATCTATCCGGTAATGCTTAAAAATGTTTTAATGGTTGCAGCGGGGACACCATCTGGGGATTTCAGGAGATTCACGAGAAGAAAATCGCCGACACTCCAAGGAGATGAACCGAGAAGTCCGACTGTTTACGATTGGTTAGCTCTCGTTTTCTGTTTGCTATTTTGCTTATGAATTCAATTGAAAAATAAATAATAATTTGTTCCAAGTGTTTAACTAATCATGTATTCTAAATTTTGTAGGATCGTGATGAGTGCTTTGGACCGTTAAGAGAGAAAATCGGCGACTTTTCTTTTGGAGGATCGACAGATGAAAGAAACTTTTTGTATATATATAAAACTTCTGTTGAAGTTTCACTATATATCTTTATGCATATATAAATATATATAATAACTAATAATTATGATGACACTCATCAAGAACAAGAGGATTGGATGAGGAAGACCGATCGAGAAATTAGGACTGCAATTCTTGGAGTTTCCGACGGCGAGAGATGACAGACATAGGAACTTGTTTTGTACATTATTCTCACTTGTTCTCTTTTTTTATTTTTACTTTTTTCATGTACATATGATTTTGTGTGTGTGTGGTTTACTTTGTCATTGTGTTTGATCTGTACATATGGATCTCTGTATATTTTCATCCTCCTGTAAAGAAACTCACTCTTTTGCAGCTTGCAAATATATAAATAATATACAAATTTTAACTTATTATTTGGTTTTGTAACTTACATTATTTCCCCCCAGATTTTGAGGAGTTTTTTAGTATTAATTTTAATCTTAATAAAGGTGATTAATATATTTGCCGTGAATACCATTGTATGGCTCGACTGGATTTGGGCCCGGGCAAAGAGAAGCAGCTCCTTTCTCTCCCACTAGCTTCAGGATAAATCTAATTATCTAAAACTCTAAATTGTTAGGATTTTTCCTTGCCTTTTTGATTTTGACATAATGTTGGTAGATTGTCTCCATCATGCATTTATTTAATGTTATTGTAACACCCCTAAACCGTATCCGACCCGAATATGAGTCCGAGGTGTCACATTGACTTTTCAAACTTTGACACTTAAAGAAAAACAAGGAAATTTTAAACTTTTATTAAAACAAAATATGTTAATTTACATAAGAGAGACCACGAAATACAAAATCGATCAGAGCATTCGTAAATAACAACTTATTTCATGCCAACACTCTATGCATAACCCAAAATACCTACTTTGTCAATTACTTCTGATCTGATCTTTTAGTAGTGATGTTGTTCTTGTCACTTCTAGTACTGCTCTTCTTGTTTCTTGGTACCTACAAGTAAATCACTTACACGCTAAGTCATAGACTTAGTGAGGCAATAAATAAACATGTAACAATAGATTCATGAATATGTATTTTTACCTTATGATCATGACATTTCAATATGCATGTATTTATTACAGTAAACATATATAATCATATCATGCACTTATAAGACTTACCTTCTTGTACCATTTTCACTTTAATTTATTCATCATTTTCCCATGTACATTATTGAGAACAAAGGTATGTGACTACATTGAGATTGTGCACTAACGCTGTCACCACAGCTTGATAAATTCCCACTAGGGCAGTGAATATTTGTCCCGAAGGATCATTACGTCCCTAAGGACCACTGGATATGTCCCGAAGGACCACTACGTCCCGAATGACCACTGGATATGTCCCGAAGGACCACTGTAACCCTCGACTCTTGGCATGCCAACTATACCTACAGCTCTCATATCATATAACATGGGCTTAATTCTCATTTCATATCTCTTTCATCACTTTTCATATAAACACATATAATCATTTCCATTATTCCATATACCTGAATTGTTTCTCTGGCAATGACATTCGTTCATTTAATATCATATTAACACATGATGAATTATACATGCAATCACTATCACAATAGTATATGTATGCATGTACATGAGTATAGAATCATGAATTCAACTATCAGAGATAGACTTATCACAAGTCTTGTCTATATACATTTTAACTATAAAATACACTTACCTTAGCCTTGTTTTGATTCGATTCTAGTCCTTTGATTGTTCCAGAACAAGATTATGTTCTATATATACATAGTAATACATTGATACATATCAGAATACTAATTGATATATTCTAAACTATTACTCCTTAGGCTAAAAAGGAAGTTATTTTCATTTTTTAATGAAGGTATGCATCGATGCACTCTACAGTGTATCGATGCATCCCTTAACGGGTGCATCAATGCACTACCTGTGCATCGGTACACAAATCCCATTCGATGTTTAAATATTAAGGGTTGCATCGATGCACTACTTGTGCATCGATACACTGATGGCATTCGATGTTTTTTATTTTAAAGGAGTGCATCGATACACTTCATGTGCATCGATGCACCTTCAACAATTTCTGGGATCTTATCCTTGATGCATCGGTACACAATGGATGTGTATCGATGCACTCTGCCCAGAATTCACTTCTTGAACCCGAAAACTTATCTATTTTAGCTTAATTCCTTCATCTTTCATTCCCTTTTATATTCTTAACTCCATTACACATACTTAAACCAATCTATACTCACTTATTTCATCTTAAACTTCAAAATCCTATCCTCCTCATGAAATTCAAGAATTATACCAACTTTGCAACATGATTTAATTCCACTTCTAACACTTAATATGTCTTAACTAGATTGATGACAAGTAAAATTTAACTTCCAATTCTAGATATGAACTATATTCCAAGATTTCATTCAAGAACCTCTAATCTTTAATCTCTTCTTACTCTATCATCCTTTGATTTTAAGATAACTTAAGCTTTCCTTAAGCTTAATTATCATCTAATAATCAAAACCCAATCTTAAATTTAACAAGAAACTCAATAATCAGAAAACTCACCTTTGTTTTGCTTTACTCGTACAAGGAAGAAAGAAGAAGAAAAGAACTCTGGAAGCCTTTGTGTTTTCCCCTCTTCAACCCACGTGGATTAATATATAACCCTTCCTTTCTTATTTCCTTGTAAATGACCTCTTTGCCCTTCCATTCCTCATTCCTTTCAATTCAATTCTATACAATAATTTACAAATAAATCTTTATACTATTCAATCACCAAATTATAAGACTTTACAATTTAGTCACTAACCCGATATTGAGGATGTTACAATTATATATAGTTTCAAAAATAAAACTATTAAATTATATATTTAATTAATAATTTAATAAATTCTTCAAATGATTTCATTAATAAGAAGAAATATTACTCTTTCTAGGGATTTTGGATTTCAACTGCGATTGCAGGGTGTGTGCATCTACGTTGTTAATGACTAAAAATTATTATGAACATATACTACTTTATAATCATATGGTATTATTTAAATAATAACAATAATAAATTTATTCCAAATGTATTTATGATTTCATTATTCCAATGGTTAAGTAGTTAAGTGCATGTGTATAATTTTTAAGTTTTCTTTTAGTGGAGCTAGTTTTAGATATTTTGATGATTTTATTATTGAAATGAATAAATTTAAACTAAAATCAGTTTTCAATAAAATTCTTGAAATTCAAACATTAAATTATATATCCTACATTTTAAATGATCTTCGAACCTACAAATAATTCTATTGAAATTCATGATTTTTGTAAAAGTTTTCGATATTAATAGTAATTAAATTGATATTCAGTTAAGTAATATTAGAATTAAATCTTTGGAGAGATCTTATTTACAATTTTTTAAGTGTTTGACTTTGGTCTTAATATTGCATCATTTATAGATAAAAACACTTCCAAAAATCGTTCATCCGATCCAATGCAGTGACCATATTTTGTTGTTGGACAAGCCATTCACAGGGTAATCACAAATCTGCAACAAGATTCCTACTACATTATTCACACGAGATGGCATATCCAACCAATGCAATATGACTTGTTTTCCCAGTGGTAGATCAATTTAAAAGAAATTAAATAAAATGAATCCCCACAAACACTTGCTAGCAATAATAAATTAGATATAACCTTATTACATCCCTTGCTAAACAGAGTTTTCACCAGTGTCTTTTTTATATTCTAGATATGGACGAACCTACAAATATCAGATAAAAAGATTGCAGACCATAAATCCTATATACTAAGGTTTTGATTTAATAGCCAATGGCAATGTCTTGGTCCAAACATTTATAGCGTTAGCCTTACCTCAGTGTCATAACACTGTATACACATTAAGGTCCCAAAACATTTTGGGAGCCTAATCAAAGATCTATTGAAGTTGACCTAACCCAAATAAACAATGGTGATGTACGTACCTGAAGTAAGTAAAATTGACATGTTTTTTACTTGTATATAAACAACGGAGATTTAACTGAAGTAAAAAGAAACATTATCTACTTTTAAGTTTTTCCCCTTTTGAGAGAGAAGACTGGAATTCTTTCCCTTTAGCTTTTGACACTGCTTTTGCACTTATGTCCCAGAATATGATTAATTCATATTTCCTTGCACCTAAATCAACATAATAACAAAGTTGACAACATTGAAATCTCCAGGTAGAGCACAAACGTTTGGATTAAAAACACACACACACAAAGGGTACAGTAAAAAAATCCTAAAAGTCCAAGTGGAATGATATCAATTGTCGGAGAGAAAGTCAAACGAAAATCGTAGTTACTTCATATGCTTCTAACTTTCAAGCAATCATACAACGTGTTTGTTTTTGCTTAACATTTCAGTCAGGGGGCTGTCAGATATATATAGAATTTTCTTCTTTTTTTTTAATTTTACCATAAAATCTTAACCAGCGCAGAAACTAGAAGAGTTCAATGACCTCATTTCTTCATCAAAGCAAGCAGCTAAAGAATAAAAAACCAATGCTATGTGATGAGCCTTTGGAAACTAGGGACCATATTTTTCTGCTCTGTCCTATGGCTAATTCAATCTGGAAAAATGTTTTCTCTCTCTCTCGGGACTTCACTTCTTCCCTTGCCCGGGGGACGCTTTTTGTGCAAGGGCTTCCAATGCTTGGAAAGGCAAATCAATGCTCACTCTTATTCTGAAGTTATCTTTTAATGCTACTATTTACTTATTATGGGATGAAAGAAACAAGCGAATGTTCCAAGGTAGATCCAAGAATGCTCAAGAATTATTCCATACAATCAGAGATATAATTGGACTGCACTTAAACAATAGGAAATTCAATTGTAATGACAATGTTAATATTACTCTTTCTAGGAATTGGAATATAGGGTGATATTTGTTTTTGTGTTGGATGATCACTGCTTATTTCGTTCCGTTTCTTTGTATCTTAATGTTGTACTGGTTGATTTTGGGTAATAAAAAATTTTAATTATAAAAAAAGAATAAAAACCCCATAAAATATAAAGAGTGTATATAAGCTACAATCAAGTGAAGTTGAAAATTATAAGAGGTTACCGTCTATCAAGGGTTGAA